CTATTATTTATAATAATAGTTTATTATAATTAGAAAATAAAGTAATAGAATATTAAGAATACTTATCTAAATATCTCTATAAAAGAGACTATTTATATAAAATAACTATAAAGTTTTATAGATAATAAATATCTAAACTATATCTTTATATTAAAAAAGGCTTTATATAGTCTAAAGTAGTTAGCTAGAGAGTAGAAATTATTTCTAAAAGACTTATTAAAGTTAGTAGAATATATACTACTTATAATAGACTAGTCTATTTATATAAATCTTAATAAGACTATTATTATAGTTATTTATATTAACGACTTAATAGTAATAGAACCTAATATTTAGAATATTAAATCTCTATATTAGTTTATTATAAAAACTATAGAGATTAAAGACCTAGAATCTATAAATATCTTTTTAGATATAAAGATTACTAGAAATAGAAATAAAAGAACTATAAGTCTAGACTAAAAGGCTTATATAGATAAAATACTATAAAAGTATTTTATAAGTTCTAATTTTAGGAAGAAATACTCTATTTCTATTCCTATAGGCTCTATTTTAGAGCCTAATTTAGAATAAGCTAAGAAAGATAATATTAAGAAATACTAATAAAAAATAGGTTTCTTAATATATTTAGTTAATAAAACTTAACTAGATATATTATATACTATTAATTTATTAGCTAGATATATATCTAATTCTAACTAAAAGTACTTTTCTATACTAGAAAATATCTTAGGCTATATTTAGAAGATTAGAAGTCTTAGACTTCTATATAATTCTACTTCTAATAGTCTTAAATATTTATTAGACTATTATAACGCGAATTAGGAGGGAAATAAAGCTATAAAATAATCTATAATAGACTATTTATATAAAATAGTTAATTCTATAATTATATAAAACTGGAAATTATAGAAAACTATTATATTATTATTCTATAAAGTAGAATATATAGCGATAAAAGAGATATTAAAAGAAATACTCTATATTAAAGCTATTATTATAAAAATAGATAAAATACTATCTAAAATTATATTATTTTAAGAAATTAATATTTCGATAATATTTAGCGATTTATAAAGCGCTATAGAACTTTTAAAAAATCTAGTATATTACTCGAGATCTAAATATATTAATATTTAATATTACTTTATACGATAAAATATCTAGAAAGGAACTCTAAAACTAAAGTATATTTCTATAAAATAGTAGTTAGCTAATAGATTAACTAAGTCTATTTCTATAGAAGATTATAACTTCTTCTCTATAGAAATTAACTTAGTAAAAATCTAAAAAAAAAGGAAAATATATCTCTTAGCGCTAAAATAAATTTATATATTAAATAATATATCGTAGCTTAAGAATTTCTTATAATATCGCTTTAAATATTAGAATATCTTAAGCTAAAGAATTAATACTTAATTAAGTATAATAATCTCTACTCCTATAAGAAAGACTTTATACTAGCTATATATAATATAGCTTTTCTAAAATTATATTTAAAGACTCTTAATATATCTATTATTACTAGAGATATAGGTACGTCTAAAGATCTACGCTAATTATAATCCTCTAAATAGGTAGTTAATAAGAGAATTAATATCTATACTATTATATCGCGAATAATATAATAATATTTAGTTAATTATTAAGTATAATTCGACTTATAAAATATATAAAGTATATAAAAAAATTTAAAATCTCGAGAAAATATTATTCTAAATAAATAAACGACTAGAGTTTAATCTCTAACCCTTATACTTATTATTTTATAAAAAGAGTCTATTTATTAACTAAATTAGACTTATAGGGGAGTATTGGAAAGGCCTATTACTATTTAACTAGTAAAGTTATAAATCTTATATAAAGAGATCTTCTAGACTCTAATAGAGTCTTATTATATAATAAGACTATACTCTAGACTAGTTAATATTACTAGATACTTAGGATCTAATCCTAATCTAGTTAAGAAGACTTAACTATAATAATTAACGTAAATCGTTAGTTCTCTACTATTCTAATAGTTTCTACTAATTAGAAATTACTAAGAGATTTATCTAGTAATTTATAATTATTAAAATAGATTAGAAGATTATAGAACTTTTAACCTATCTATATATACTAGCTATAGTTACTTACTTAGATAGAAATCTCTAAATCTTTAATTTATTCTATAGTAAAGAATAATATTTCTACCCTCTCTACTCGATTTACTAGACCTAAATAGATCTAACCCTATATTCTACTAGAGCTACTATAATCTAGTTTCTAATAATATTTACTCTATATCGCTTACTATATTTATTAATACGATCTTAGTTTAATCTATAATATAAATTTCGTTAAATAATAGCGAGAATCTATATATAGTAAACTATAACGCCGTACTACTAGCTTACGACGTAACTCTTAGCGAGAAGATATTTTATATATAGTTCTAAGATATAATTATCTAGACGAAGGCGGGCTATTTATTAGCACTACGGCTCTCCACACCTTTATAGGTATTTATCGTAGCGAAGCGAACTAGGTTAGGATTAATAAAAGAATAGATATCTAAGGCTATAATAGATACGCACTACTATACTATCGACACCTCCATGGTACCGGAGGAGGACCTTGATAAGACCTCACCAGCCGCCATTAGGGCAAGCGTGGAGAAGGAGGTCCGCACTAGCAATGGACAAGGCAACTGGCGCTACCTCGCAGTGAGCTGCGAAAACCACGAGCCGGATTAGAATCGCATGCCGAGACGAAAGTGAACACGAGATGGTCAAATTGGCAGTGGAATGGAAGGCGGCGCCAGGCGTTCGAACACTGAGGGACGAACTCTACCCGATTAAGGTGGACAATGTCAATATAGGAAAGTACTTGGGCATCAGTCGTATTTTTTGTCGTCGTGTTTCTCTCAGGCTCAGAGTGAGGTCTGTATCTTTGAATAACCAGTAAGCACTTACCTATCTTGAATACCTTTTCGAACTGCCGCCCGGAACTATCTGACTGTCGAAGTAAGGAGATTTAGTTGCTGGATACTGATAGTATGGAGATTTCTAGCATTTTTATGGCCACTAAAACGATATGATCCGGTATCTGCTGACAATGGAGAAACGCTCAACTGGCGTAGAAGCAACCTAGCTTTCACGTTCCATTCTGGTGACGAACCCAATATCAGTGACAATCAAACACCTCAATCTCATTCTCCTCCATCCCCTTCAGAGCCAAACTATCTCGTGTGTATACATAAGTGAATGCTGTCTGGATGCGTGTTTGCAAGTTCGCCTATGTGCCACTCGAGGACATTGCAACTTATGAAGCCTCCGTCGCTATTCTTTGGTAGAATCTGTTCGTATATGACATCCACATGTCATCGCGATTGAGCACAACTCCAAGCCAAAATGAACCCTGTTTGATCACTTCTCTAATTGTATATGCGGCACAGTGCTGTACTTGGTAACGGCCAGCCTCTCGCTGATTGATACAATTATGGACCTTTACTCTTGAAGAGTGATAGGAATCCGGAGCGCCAACGGCTCTGTGCCTTGCGTTTTCTCTTGGGGACCTTTGAATACGCTTGAGCATCAAAGAGGGACTCTGCCGTAGGTTGAGATGTGAACAAAGCTTCCTTGATGCCTTCTTGCTTCCAATGTTTATTGAGTGTAGCTAGATGCTCTGCATTCTTTATTGCTGGCTGCAGGGGCACTTCCAACACTGCACTTGAAAGCTCAACACCAACCCCAGGGACTGAAACGAACTGCAATGTTTGATACCAATGTTTGGCACCAGTCATTGTGACACAACCCTCATGGTGCATGAGCAACAACACCTTACCGTAAATTTCGCGTGCACTTATCCTCTCGGCGGCCAATATCGTCACATCAAGCGCTGTGTGACCATAAGCGTCAAGTAAGTTGGGATCGGCACCGTACTTTAGCAAGACTGCCGACATTTTCACGTTGCATAGGTGAAGAGCTGGCAGTGTTCGGCATAATCGGGACTCTGGACGAACCTCATTGTAGAGAAATCGACCTGGCAGGGACTCTCTGGAGGCCGTGTTCAGATACCAATACCACCTACTACTACCCAGGTTTTTGAGCCCTGGGTTGTTGATGTTCAAACACCCTACCCGCTCATCTGGAATCGCAGAGGATTTCAGTGCACTTTCGAGCATCTCTACCAGGTGATCATTGGTCGTGCCCACCGCATCGTCTTGGAAGGACCTGTTTGGTTCGGCGGCAATAAGGACGTCCCATGCAGACAATCCATCGTCGCCTACCCCATGTGGGTCGAGTTTGGCCGCGAGTAGCAATTTCCACATGCCTTGTAGGATGAAGGGTCTGCGAGTGTATGACTCAATCTGCTGAGCTGAAAGGTTGTCGTTGACAAAAGTTGTGCATTGAAGAGCTTTCCGTGCAACCGCGATCAGCAAATGCGTACGGGCGTTGATCAGTATGTCATCAGGTGATAGGTTGGCAAGCGTTGACCGTACGTAAAGCTTCAAATCAGCTAAAACTGCAAATGCAAGCGGCGTCGGGTAAGAACATGGTGTTTCGATTGTCTCGAAGTGGATTTTGGGTACGCTACTGATGAAGTAGTCTTTGGGTATACTATTGATGAAGGAAATCTCCGGCCGGCCGGTCGTCATCTCATCAGCCCTGGCGAGCATCAAAAGTCTTTCATCAGGATTGTGGTCCCACAACTGTTTGGCAATGGTGTATCTGAATAGATAGGTAAACCCATTGTCGGTTTGCATGTCACAGCGCTCACCCAACAGCAGTTCGGCAAAGCCTGGACTTGCGACGAAGTCCTTTGCTGTTCGGTGGATGTACTGCACATATGCAGTCTTTGATTTTTCCACCTCTACGCACTCGAGCAGCCCTGCACAGAAATTGAGCAAGTGCTGCTGGGCGTCTGCCGATGATCCCAGACTCTCTTGCTTGGAATTGATGAGTTGTTTGCAGATGTGGAAATTATTGCTATTGGCGCATTCTGCAGCCAAACACAACTGTTTGACATCGAGCAATTGTGGGCTTCGATGAACAATCTCCAGGAGAACAAATGCTTCAAATCTGTTATTTGGCGGGATGCGGTGGAGTGTTCGGGCATAGAATCCTTCCAGATCCTTCGGTACCTCATTGAGCAGCATATCGAAATCGGCGTCCGAGTCACAATGGCTCTGCTGTGCAAGCATATCAGTGGCCAGCCGCACCCAGAGGAAGACACCTTCTGCCCTTCCAGCAATAGCCTCTATCACTCTGCCTGCCGGTATACTGTGCCAGTACAGATTAAAAGCAGCATTTTTGACTGGTTGCTTGCACAGCGGTCGAATCTTGGCCTGTGCATATTGTCTGATATCTTGCACCGTATGTTCGTGTAAGGTAAACCCTGGTGCATTTGCGAAATCTACTACAAAAGCGTGCCACGGACGGCTTGAGAAGCAAACTTTGACACTTGTCAGACCTCCCTTTTTGTCAGCAGGGCCCGCTAAATCCTTGATCCACGTCGCAATAGCTTCTGGAAACCCATGGTATTCGTCCAAAGCATCTAGAAAGACCAGCAGCTCCACCTTGTGCTCCTGTTGTTCAAGTACAGCTGAGAATGCTGCTCGAAGCTGTGTCATGTTCCACTGATCCCTTGCAGCGTCATCAGTGTTCATGTATATATCGAGGACAAGTTTGGCAAGCTGTGAAACTCGCGTCACGAGCTGATAGAGTATGGTGCGGAGTAGACCTTCAAATGTCTTTTGCAAAAACCCACCCCTCTCATTAAAGAAGAACCAGAGGTCGACCTGCGCAGTGCTTCGCAGCTCTTGTCGGAAGTTGTCGTTCTTGTATAGGTACTTCATCAAGGTGCTCTTGCCACTGCCTGGTTTCCCGCGGATCCAGTAGACCCCTTCACCCCGAAGAAGCCAGTCCGTGAGTTTGAGATCTTTCTTCCACAGCCAGCCGAAACTTGAGGCGGAAGCATCGGTAATGGCGTCAAATCTTAGACCTTGTTCTGAAAATTGCAGGCTGGCTTTCAAGCCTATACGTCCACATCAATATGGCACACGTAATGTTACGGAGAAAGGATGAAGAAACTCACACTTTAGCTCTTCGTGGGGGTTACGCCTTCTCTTCCGCTTTGAGCTCCACGCGAGTTGTAGAAAACTCCCATCGTCCGTCACGTACTGCCTTGTTTCAGAGGCAGAGCCCGGAGCGGTTTCGTTGGCCTCTTCGTCCATGCAGATGTCACAAGATTCCGTTTTGCAGAGGGCATTATCATGGTGTTTCTGTTTCATCAGACGTGCTCCGGTGCGCGCCCGTCGCGAAGGGCTCATTCTGCGTATATCGGCAGGGTGTTGCGACCTGGGATTCGTCTTGAGGAGAGCATCGTGGATATGGTGCTGGATGATATAGTACGTAGCATCATCTGGTGCAAGCTTGACCATATTGGAATGGTCATCGTCGACATGGAAAACGTCGCGGGGGTTTCGAGATCCATTCTGTATGGCAGATTCGCGACTGACTAGAATCTCGCGTTCTCCCTTTCGCTCCCATTTGCCTTGCTCGTTTTTCTGCATATATGTCAACCCAAGTGGTATTTTCTCAGCGAAAGCATACTTACTATTGTGGTTGGCGAGTGCCTGGTCTCGTACGCCGACACAATTCTCATTGTACGAAAAGCTGATATGCCAGCGAATCCTTCATCGAGAATATTAAGGTACGAAGAGTCGATAGATAGTGTGTTGACTAGAGCTTCGTTTGGGTACCCTTTGACCATGGATAGCAGTTGTTTGACCTGCATACCACGGTTTGGCACGCCGAAAAAGATTGCCAGTTTGATTTTCTGTAGGACAAAATCCTCCTCGTCTCCACTTCTTGCCATGTAGTAAAGCGCTCTCTTAACTAAGATTCCCCCAAGACTATGGGCGAATATGACACATGGTTTTGCCGAATATTCGGCTCTTCCTATTGATTTCAAGTGCTGCACGAAGGTTCGTGCTAAGTCGTCTAAGCTCTGATGGGAGTCACTGTGCGCCAAGCTGGTATCGTAGCCATAGATCATAACACGGAACCTAGGGAAATCGTCCGGTAGCTGATCTCGGAGCCACATAAATTGTTCCCCTTCGGCACGGGACCTCTGACGCCAGGAGCCGAAGGGATGGCTACCCAGGCCCGACACTGCGATGCAGCTAATTTAGTTAGCACCCCGCTGCGCACCGAATATCGTGAGACTCACTCAAAGTCATGTTGGGTGTCTTGGACATAGTTCAGCGGTGTGAATCCACGAAAGCTTTTGTCAAAGAGGAGAAACTTGCGCGATCCCTTCAGGTATATGGTCCACTCTTGTTCCCCATCTTGCAAGCGTTCAGGCACTTCCGCAAAGTCTATTGTTGCAACGAGAGTAGGATTGGTACTGCGATCGATAGGTGATGGTGCTAGTGATCGGATCCTGATATTGCAATGGCCCCCAAGTCCTTCTATGCACGTATTCAGGAAACGCGGTAACGTGGAGATATCTTGCTCGGCAGGTATGCGCCGCACCCGAAACGTGGTAGGCTTCTGGTCCATAAGAACAGAATCGGATATCGTTGCAGCATGTTCATGATCTTACGAATAATAGAGGTGCGCTTTTCATGTTTCATGCTTTCAGCCTCACAATCGTGAAGGGTGTGCATCAGCTTTGAATGCGCCTTGGCCCCTGGCCACCTTGCCACCTTGTTGCCTTGCCGGGGAGAACTAAGCGAGGGTTTGGGGGCTAGCTGGCGCCACTAGGCCAATGAAAGAGTTGGAAAGAGGTTCGTAGAGTGCTGAGCAGGTGAGGGGTCAGAAGCACCCCACGGTTGCACGTGCTGCTGGTGCCACTCTTGCCATGTGGTGATGTTGGCTGTGTCAGAGAGGATACTTGTATTCCCTTCTTTTTTACTGATTTAACCTGCGAAGTTACGAACATATCTACTATTCCAATGGATGGGGAAGGCAACCTGTGATTAAGTTCATGACCGATAACGGGACGAGGTTAGGGAGCCCTACTTTACGGAGGATCTGGGCACAGTACGGGGCATCCCTACCTCAACTCCATAACCTCAAAAGTACAAATCATGAATATTACGGCAAACGCTACTGCCGAACCATTGCTATCGCCTCCATTCCCCGAGCACCTAGCCTTCTACTCGAAATCGGGAACACCATCCAACGCCCAACGCCCATTATGCTTGCCTGCCATTTATCAACATTCGACCGATGAGAAAGTAACCACGACTCTCCGATGTATTGACCTGCAAAATCCGACTTCAATCCACGACTATCTCCAACACGAGCTCGATCTATCTCGCTTGGACAAGATCTTCAAGCACCTCTGGTGGGCAGGGCTACCACGATTCGCACGACCTTTGCATCAGCAGGTTGCGATAGGCCGGAAGATTGTCGTGACAGAACATGTCGACTGCCACCTGGTATGGAGTCGAGGCTTTATCTTGGTCAAGCCTCTCCCCTCATTTCTGCTGGACCATGGGATATGGTCTGAACATTTGTGCAAGCATCAGCTGCTTTATGAACAAGCCCGAGGTTTTCTGCTGACATACCTGTGCCTGATCTGCCACGAGAGTGACCTCAAAGTCGCGCACGACACAGGCTTGCTACCAGATACCATACACTGGCCTTGGTGGACTCAGTGGACGGCGGCAGTGGCCTCACACCTTCCCCACGACCAGCTTGAGCATGTCCATCCTCGTTACATGTATGCAGAGTTGCGACTCGACCGTTTGAGTCAGATCTACGGCTTGTGCAGTAAAACCCGTAGTGTTGCGGCCCTCGTCCGTGGGTATCACCATGGGTACGCGGATTACACCACCTTCATGCAACGGAATACTACATGGTTTCTATTGGCAGTGGTCTACATGACCATCGTTTTGACGGCCATGCAGGTTGGACTCGGCACGGAGCAATTGCATGACAATGAGTCCTTCCATCGAGCATCTTATGGCTTCACGGTCTTTACTATCCTTGCACCGTTGCTGGTCTTTGGAACCATGATGTTGATCGTGCTTGTTCTCTTCATACATAACATGTGGTACACTCTTGGGAAGCAGAAAACAAGATAAAGAGGACTACAAGAAGAACCAGGGTGTAATTAAAATACAGAGAAAGGTATGAAGTCGTGTGTTGTGAGAGGGTTATGAGTCGGAGGTGACCAGAGTACTGCACGGCCATTGCTAGTGGGCACAGGATTGCCTTGAGATAGCGCTCTTGTCTCCAACAACCAGTGTCCACGCATTCACTGCATTCCTGGCACGAAAGTTCGTAACCAACCAGTCAAAGGCTGTCAGTAGAGACTGACGACTAAAGTCTGCTTTAGTGCTGCGCCATTCAACATCTGTTTTGACGCCGGTACATACCAAATTCAAGGATTGATGAGCTACGGGCAAGCGTATGCCGTCGGGTGGCAGCTTGCGAAAGACTGAATGATCTATGGGGATTTCCGCCATTGAATCGGCGCAAATTAAATCAGCCTCTTGGTGTGCAAGGTATCGGCTCACATGATCAGATGTGAAGACTGGGGCGAAAGGTTCACTAAAGGTGGCAGTCTGGAGCAACACTTCGATTCTCTCACACACGTGCACGAGTGTCACATTTGTAGGAGAAAGTTTCGAAGCTCGACTTTATTCAATCAGCCTGTTGTGCACACTGATTCGAGTGCCCAAGATGTGATCGAGCTTTTCCAGATGATGTCCTCGCGTATTCCGGGCACTAGCCTGGAAGAGCATTTGAGTAGTTAGACGACCATGCATTTTCCAGAGAGAAAACTGCTTTTCTTTCCAGACTTCAAACTAACTAGCTGTCACAGCAGCACTGTCTTCCTGCGACTCGCAGTTCTTGAGGTAGCCAATGCATGCGCATTTAGCTTCCTGGCAGATGTGAGGAGATTTTCGTTGTGCCAAGGCGCCCAGTTGACAACCAGTGGAAGAGGCCAGTCTCGCTCCCTAGAGGCGAAATTTCTCGCTGAACAAGGTGATAATTTCAGCCGTGCAGGCGCAGGTTACAACGGAACCCTGCTCAGAAGGCTCTGAAAGATGTCAGATGAGCCAGTATGTATAGACTATATCATCATCAGATGTATACTATATCGAAAAGCGAGAGCCGGCATGGGAGTTGTGCCCATGAATAGTGCCGCGTGTCTAGCGATGCATAGGTCAATAGAGATATATCTCTAACCGGTGTGAAAATTTATGAAAATACTAGCTTGCATGCGACATGAAAGCAGCCTTGCTTAGAATAATTGTCTTCTATGATTCGTTTAAAGGCTTCATCCCTAGCTGTGGATGCAGACGCCCTACTCACCACTTTCCAATCGCCTACTCTGCCCACTCGTGTTGCGTTTAAATTAGTTATTTGGTGAAAGATCGACATAGGAGGGAAAGGCACTATATTCTTTGATCCTTAGGCTCTCAATAATTTTATATACCCTGCGCTCTATTTCTCATACTACTATAGATAATGACATAAGTCGCAGTCTTGACGAGCTTCGTGTTTCACGCCCGACTTCGTTGGTATGCGAATTGGTCGAAATTCAGAAATATTAAAAGATATGCCTACGAGATTTTACCCACATACGGTCACTGAAATGCTTGTTAATACTAGGTCACGAAATTCATCCAAATCTAGGTCGTATCCTAAACCAAGTTACTTTGCTAGACGCCGACCGCAGGTTCGCTGCAAGTTTCGTAGTCATAGAAATCCACCGCCTACGAAAATGACACAACTAGAGAATACACCATTATGCGAGAATAGCTAGGCAGTTCGGAATACGCCAAAGTACGAGATATTATTCTGGATCGTGTGATTAAGTACATAGCCTCTAGTAGCATACCGGCATTTTGGATTGATTAAGAATGTATTGAGTAGAAAGACGAAGAAGCCAAAGTTGTTGCCATGTAGTCTATGGATGTGATTTACCGCCGCAGCCTTCATCCAATTAGTATGCTATCAACGCCCGTTTAATGTTAAGACGAAGTTGATTTGTTGTTCGCCCTTCTTAAGAAAGATCTCGTTGTTTGGCAGTCTGTGTCTCAAGTGCCTTAGCTGGCTGCCGAAGTAGATATTTCAAAAGCCCGAAGAGTGTTGGATGTTCTTTTCAGGATTATGTGCGATCCATGGTGGACTCGTCGCTGGATCTTTTAAGAAGAATACTGTGCTATGGATCGCATGCAGCTGTTGATTCCCTACCTACCAGGATTGAGTAAAGTCAATGGTACACGGGTGTTCGGCACAGTTGACGGTGAGCTTTCCATCAACGCTGCTCTTCACGAAGGCTGCCGCGAGCAACTATTTTGGGGGTGAGGAGATAATGGCCCTACTCCTCGGCCAGCTTGGCGAAGATAACAACATCACTGAAGCGATGGTCGCTGCCGCTGCTGGGAATCGCTATCAGGGTGAGGAGTTGATGGCTATGCTCCTCTAGCTCTGCTAAGCCAGCAATGACTCGGCAGATCAGCTGTACTTGGGCTAATTAAAGGAATGGAGGTCGGAATGATTAAATCTCAATTGATCTGACCCGGGCACTAATGTAATAGACTATGAGAGGGTAATTGAGTTCGAAGGTGCTCCTAATTGACGACTGTATCCTATAGAGGCGGCAAGACTATCTGTTTTAAATTACTTATAGTGCTAAAGAAACGGGTGGCCGAGCTAGATGGAAGTAGGTAGCCGCCAAGCAGCTTTAGGTTGCGGGGTTAGGCGCTAAATTACGTACGGCTCTAAAGGTAGTGTAGGTTAGCTTATATTTTAGAGATAATACTCCTTAGACCGTAGTGTTTACCTACCTTTATAGCTATTTATTTTATAGATATCTAACTTAACTAATATAGATATCGGCGAGTAAAGGTGACTTAGCTATAGAGATATCGATAGACCTATCGAATAGCTAACTCTACTGTTACGAACCAAGTCACCATAAGGTCAAGCCAAGCTCGGTGCGGGGAACGCGATAGGCAAGT